GAGTGACTAGACTTGTTCGCTCAGTGGTGTGACTAGTACTTGATCATTCAGCAGTGTGACTAGTACATGATCGCTCAGTGGTGGACCTAGAACTTGATCCCGCAGTGGTGTAACTAGTACTTTATCGTTCAGCAGTATAACTAGTACTTGATTGCTCAGCAGTATGACTAGTACATGATCGCTCAGTGGTGGACCTAGAACTTGATCCCAAAGTGGTTTAACTCGACTGTTCCATGGTGTTACTAGTGTTCTATTGCTCACTGGTGTATCGAGTACTCAATCGATCAGTGGTGTAACTAGTACTTGATCCCTCAGCAGTATAACTAGTACTTGATTGCTTAGCAGTGTGACTAGTACATGATCGCTCAGTGGTGTGACTAGAACTTGATCCCTCAGTGGTGTAACTAGTACCTGATCACTCGTGGTGGACCTAGTACTCGATCGCTCAGTGGTGTAACTAGTACTTGATCCCTCAGCAGTGTAACTAGTACTTGATTGCTCAGTGGTGTGCCTAGAACCTGATCCCTCAGTGGCGTAACTAGTACTTGAGTGTTCCATGGTGTTACTAGTGTTCTATCGCTCACTGGTGTATCAAGTACTCAATCGATCAGTGGTGTAATTAGTACTGATCACTCACTGGTGTGACTAGTATGTCATCGTTTAGTGGTGTGCCTAGAACTTGATCCCTCAGTGGTGTAACTAGTACTTGGGTGTTCCTTGGTGCTACTAGTATTCACGCGCTCACTGGTATATCGAGTACTCCATCAATCAGTGGTGTACCTAGTACTCGATTACTCAGTGCAGACTCACCTGCCTACCTTCTTGCTCTCTTCTGTTAGTTCTCCTTTTCCTGGGGATTTCTGGGATGGGGTGGTCATAATTTTCTTACCCACCTGTGCACCTTCATGTATCAAAACACAGCACTCTTCCTGTGTGTGCCCTCTGGTCACTGGCTGCTCTTTAACTCCCCTCATGGTGGGTGTCCTCTTTACCCGAGTGTTTCACGAGAAGTTCTTTATGGGTGAGACTCTGGTGTCATAGTTTAAAGGCTTTCTCCGGGAAGGGATTAACTTACTTCCTCTCCAACTGTTTCCATGCTTTGCCCGTTACCTCCACCCTATGACGCGTATTTGCTTGGTCTCTGAGCTTTTGCTAGTCCAGTGATTGCCTACATTTTCCTAGCCCCAGGCTACTTCACTTACTTTATCTCACGATTCTCAGATTCGAATGATTTTTTTTTTAATTTTAACATCTCTGGGAGACCAACTGAGGCAGGAAGACTGCCTTAAATCTCTAGCTGCCTTCTGCCCAGCCAGGAACATTTTGAGACTTCATAGTTTATCGGATCTACTCTCTCCCCCACAGCTGGAACTCTCCAGTTTGGCCCCAGGTACTCTCAGTCCTGAGAGACTGGGAAAAGAACCAACACCTAAAGCTGGCTAAATGCACACTCTGACTGGAAGACAAGGCGCTCTACCAAGAACACCTCTTGAGAAGCAGAGCTCTTTTTCCCCTGACACTGTAGAATTGACACCAGAAAAGTAGGAAGATGTATATGATTCATCAGATGACTAGACTCCAGAACAGAAGCACAAGAAACATGGGAAAATAAGGAAACATCTCTCCCTCAACAGAACAAATAACTCTTCTTCAATCATAGACAACACAAAAGAATTCACAAGAATGTCAGAAAAATAATTCAGGGGTCCATTGGTAAACGCACTGGACTCCCATGTGGCCAACCCAGGTTTGAGGCCTGGACTTGGCTGCTTGAAACTCACACTGGGCACATATGCATGCATGCCCAAAATCTTGAGAGGAGGATGGAGGAGAGAGGATTTTGGTGTGGCCCTCCTTCCAGGGAATGTCTTTCTGTTTCTCTGTCTTTCTCTGTCTCTCTGGTGAGTGCACATGCCCTACAGTAAAAGTCTCTCTCTCAAGAAAATTTTTAAAAAATCCGAATATTCATGGTGACAGATTTAAAGTCTTTCTAGGATTTGAAGAAGGAGAAAGACGCCATATAAAAGAGCTAATTAGAACTCTTAGATATGAAGACAGTAACAAAAAAAATCAAGACGTCCCTTGCAGTATTTATAACAGATTGGACCACACAGAAGACAGAACCTGTGAGCTGGAAGACAAAACCTTTGATCTTAGATAAAACCACCAAAAATAATGAAAAATAATTTTTTAAAATTAGGACAATATATGGGAAATACACTATTAAGTGCCCAAATATTCAAATAATAATGTATTTCAGAAGATGAAGAATCAGACAAGAGCATAGAAGATCTATTCCATTAAATACTTGAAGAAAACTTCCCAAATCTAAAGAAGCATTCATATATCTATACCTGAGAAATACAAAGGTCCCCAAATAGAATCAACATAAGATTCCCTAGATTGTGATAATAATAAATAAAATAAAATACAAAACAAAAAACCCCATAAGATTCTCTCCGTGGCACATCATAGTCAGACCGGTAAAAATCACAAAGACAAGATTCTAAAAATGGCAAGAGAGAAATGTCAAGTCACTTACAAAGGTTTTTCAATGAGATTAACATCAGACCTTTCAAGCGAAACAGTGCAGGCAAGAAAAGAATGGGAAGATGTATTAAAAACAAACAAAAACAAATAAACCAACCAAGAATATTATACCCAGCAAGATTATCTTTCATAATGGGAAGAATGAATAAAATCAGTCTTGCACAAACAAAAACTGAAAGAATTCACCAATACTAGACCAGCTCTTCAAGAAATACAGAAGGGAGTGCTGTATCAAGAAAAGTAAAGAGAGACAGACAGAAATGAGAGAATAAAAAACAACCAAGAAAATGGCTAACAAAATGACAGGGACAAAGTTGCAAATATCAAGAATAACATTGAACATTAATGCATTAAATTCTCTAATCCAAAAACACAAACTGGCTGAATGGATTAAAAAAAATAAACTCTCATTGGCTGTCTACAAGAAATGCGCCTCATGGATAAAGATATACATAGACTAAAAGTGAAGGGCTGGAAAAGATATTCTATGCAAATGGAAATAACAAAAGAAAAAGGCTGGAGTCAATATACTAATATCAGACAAAATAGGCTTTAAGACAAAAACTGTAGGAAGAGACAAAGAAGGGCCTTATATAGTACTCAAAGGGTTAATTCATCAAGCAGATATAACATTTATGAATATCTATGCACCCAACTTGGGAGCACCCAAATAGGTAAAAGAGACTGCTAGATCTAAAGGGAGTGATAGACACACTAATCTTTGGGGATCTCAATACCCCATTATCTCCTTTGGACAGATCATTTAGACAAAAAATAAGCAGAGATACAGGATCTAAATGACACCATAAATTGATGGACTTCTATAGACCTTTCCATCCAACAACCATAAAATATACTTTTTTCCTCATCCCCCCCCCCCCATGGAACCTTTTCAAAGACTGACCACATGATAGGGCAAAAAACAAGCCTTTACAAATTCAAAGGCATAGAACCTATATCCAGCATCTTCTCTGACCATGGTGGAATTAAACTTGAAATTAATTTCAGAAAATATCTCTCAAAAATACACAAACATATGGAAACAAAACAACCTACTCCTGAATTACTTCATAACCACTGAAGAAATGAAGACTGAAGTGAAAAGAGTAATTGCAATGAATGGTAATGAGTATGTGCGTTCCATCACCTATGGGACACAGCAGAAGCAGTAATAAGAGGGCAGTTCATAGCAATTAGTGCATATAAGAAAAAGATGGAAAACAGACAAGCTAACAACATACCTCAGGGAACTGGAAGAACAACAAAAATCCCCAAGAATGCCAAGAGAAAAGAAATAATAAGGTTTTTAAATTTTTTTAAATTTTATTTATTTAGTTAGTTATTTTAATTTGACCAGAGGGGGAGTAAGTGAGAGAGGGAGAGAGAGAGAGGAAGGGAAGGAGGGAAAGTGAGAAAGCAAGCCACCAGGTCCAGGACTCGAACCATGGTCGGCCATGTGGGAGTCGGGAACCCTTAAGCATAACGCCACCTGCCAGCCCCAAGAAATAATAAAGATTTGAGAAAAAAAATAGAGAATAAATGAACTATATAGAAAATAAATGAAACCAAAAGCTGGTTCTTCTAGAAATAAACAAAACTGATATACAGGTAGTTAGACTAATTCAGAAGAGAGAAATGAACAAGATAAATCAAATTTGCAATGAAACAGGCACTATTATAACAGAAATACAAAAGCTCATTAACGAATACTATGAATGACACCAACAAACAAGAAAACCTGGAAGAGATGGACCAATTTCTGAACACACATATTCTACCAAGACTGAATCAGGAAGACATAGAAAGCCTGAATAGGCCAGTAACAAGCAATGAAATCGAATCAGTAATAAGTGACCTCCCAACAAGCAAAGCCCAGATTCTGATGGTTTCACTTTTGAATTCCATAAAACTGTTAAAGAAGAGCTAAGCCCCGTTCTACTCAAACTATATCTAAAGACCCAAGGGAAGGAGCCATCTCAGCTTCATTTTATGAAGCCTTCATCACCCTCACCCCCAAAATAGACAAGGACACAACAAAAAAGAAAACTACAAACCAATATCTCTGATGAATATAGATGCAAGAACTCTCAACAAAATACTAGCAAATCATATCCAAAGACACATTAAAAAGATTATACATCACGATCAGGTAGGCTTTATTCCAGGGATGCAAGGATGGGTCAACGTATGAAAACCCATAAATGTAGTACACCATATTAACACAAAGAAGGATAAAAATCCTATGATAATATCAGCTGATGCAGAAAAGCATTTGATAAAATACAACGCCCCTTCATAATTAAGACCTTCAGCATGGGGCTGGCAGGTGGTGTGGTAGGTGGGGTGCTGGACTCACATGGCCAACCACGGGTCAAGTCCCGGATCTAGCAGCTTTCTTTCTCACTTTCCCTTTCTCTCTCTTCCTGTCTCTTTCTAGTCAAATTAAGAAATAATAGCAAATGGTGAGTGGCCTGGGGCTGCCGGGAGTGCGTCGCACAGGGCTGTCCGGGGCGATGTTTCTGTTCTGCCCGAGCTGTGGGAATGGGCTGATCATGGAGGAGGGTCAGCGCTGCCACCACTTCGCCTGCAACACCTGCCCCTACGTGCACAACGTCACTTGCAAGGTGACAAACCGAAAGTATCCAAAGCTGAAGGAAGTGGACGATGTGCTTGGGGATGCAGCTGCCTGGGAGAATGTGGACTCTACTGCAGAACCGTCCCAGCCTCCACCCAGTGCCCCGTCTCGAGTATTGTATCAGAGCAGCACAAGTGAATTGAGGTGGTCACCTTCTGTGTTATGTTTCCAGCTGGTCTTCAGCCAGATTTGAGAAGAAAAAGCCGTGCCCCAAATGTGAGCACCCTCGCGCCTACTTCATGCAGCTCCAGATCCGCTCTGCAGATGAGCCGATGACCACCTTCTACAAGTGCTGCAGCCCTCAGTGTGGACACAGCTGACTAGGCCAGGCTGGGGCACCCTGCTGGGTGTGAGAGTGTCTTCAGGGTCTTTGCTGGTGTAGGGGAAAGGAACCCTTTTGGGGTAGGAGGCCAGTGTGTCAGTCTAATCCTCTCTCTCTCTTTCTCTGGTGTGAGCACATGCCCTGTAGAAAATAATAATGGTGGGGTCCAGCAGGTGGCACAGTGGTTAAGTGTGCTGGACTCGCACATGGCTGACTGCAGTTTGAGTCCCAGACCTGGCAGCTTGCTTTCTCTCTCTCTCACTCTGTCCCTCTCTGATCAAATGAAAATAAATAAATAAATAAATAAAGTTAAATAAAAAAATAATAGCAAATGGAATTAAATAAATAACTAAAAAAAAAAAGACTTCTGCAAAATCAGCATCGAAGGAACATTTCTCAACACAATAAAAGCCATATATGAAAAACCCATAGCTAACATCACACTGGAACAAGACAAAGCTTCCAACTTTCTTCATTCCCTTTCAATATAGCTCTAGAAGTCTTAGCCAATGCAATCAGACAAGAGAATAAAATAAAACGCATTCAAGGGACCAGTAGACCTCATAGTGGTTATGTTGTTGGAGTCCCATGTGGCTGACTGTGGTTTGAATCCTGGACCTGGTGGCTTAAAAATCGCAGTAGGTGGATGTGCATGCATGTGTGCCCAAGATCCTGGAATGAAAATGGAGAAGGAATTGTGGTATGGCTGTCATCCTAGGGGGTGATATCTCACTTTCTCCCTCACTGTGTTTGTCTCTCTCTTTCTCTCTCTGGCAAGCACACACACTCTAAGGAAAAAGCCTCTAAAAAAAAAAAAAGAGAGAGAGAGAGAGAGGA